AGATAGTGGAGCCAGCGACGATTACTACATTTGGGAACCAAGCCACCCTTTTGAAGACAATAACTGCCTGTTTGGTCATGTTGAACAATATCATCGCAAGAAACCCGCTGCTCAATGTTGGAACGATTGGCGTGAGCCCCACATTCACAGCATAGGGAGGAACTGCAGCTGTACCAAATCCGACTTTGAATGGTAAGACTTACTTACCAATTGCTCCGATTGGATCAATGTGAGCTCGGAAGCAAACAATGGCTTGCTAACACTGAACAGTGATTATAACTACGAACCTTTGAGTGATGGTAGCTGCGGGCTCGTCAAGGGATTGTCCCCACCGGATGCGATGGCTGTTTGTAAGGTGGATCCCGATCGTGTCGAATACTGGGAGCCCACAGGATACCGGCGCCTGCCCCAAACGACTTGTCAAAGGGGGTTGGAGTTAGACCATCTGGCCTCGAAGCCCTGCCCAAATAAAAAGGAGGAATATCAACGTAGACACGGCATCGGTGGGGTTGGGCTGTTCTTTGCCATTGTGACACCCATCGCTGTGGCCGGTGCTGTTGGATACTATGCTTATACCAGATGGGACGGCAAATTCGGTCAAATTCGCCTTGGAGAGAATGTTAGCACCTCTTCTGGTTTGCTGTCGCGAGACTCGCTGCTCATAACAATTCCCGTCACCATAATCGCGGGCGCGGTGGCTGTTGCTAAATCCTTGCCGCTTTTGGCGACTAGTTTATGGCGAAGTGCAAGCGGTGTTTTGCGTCTCAGGCGCAGTGGAGGCTATACACGACCCTACTCCTCTCGGGGTGCTTTTGCAGCCCGACGAGGCGATTACACTAGCGTTGTCGATGATGAGGATGAGCTTCTTGGGGTGGAAGATGCCGACATTGACGAAGATGAGCTCTAGTAGCAGAGCTCATCTGCGCTCTCTTCGACAGGCTTGATGGCTTCTCTATGGTTTCATGTTATAGTATGAATATGTAGGAAGGGCCCCTGTTCGCCTTCCTTTTGTACTTGTCACTCATGCTAGGTTGACTTGATTATATTTGGTCTTCTTTTTAGTATTTGAATGATAAGTTCCCATTCGGGCAATAGCCCGAATCTTTTTTGCAAGGGTATTTGCATGGTGTCATGCATTCATTGATCGCAAGTGTTGTTTATGAAGATCATAGTCCCTTACATACTTTGTGTACCATTAATCTGACGGTGATATGTTCTGTGGGTGCTTTCTGGATCATGTCGTGCCAGATGTGTATGAGATATTAACCAGATTGACGTATGCATTCAGGGTGATATGTCAGAAAATGTTTCCAAGGAGATGAGGTCTTTCCGACTATGAGGCAAGAATACTATCGTAGCCCTGGGTCCCATTTTACTAGCCACTAGTCCGGCGTCGAACAAGGCGCGCTCCTCGACCTACAAACAAGGCCCTGAATTGACAAGGCCGCTCTGCTCAGCAATCATATATGGCCACTTTGCGAACTTTGGTAGTTAGATTACCATGGAATTGAAGCCAACCCAGAGAGGGGAAGTGCGTCTTATGGACCCAGTAAGACTGTCAGGTCTGCGTTAATGGGAGACGCGTTCCATACAATCGCACCGGACCTGGAATGAGAGAGGCCTAGGTTGAAAGTAGGGACCTAAGATTGCTCCTTGGCTCTAGGCAAATCGTCTGGGCCGAATGAGTCCGGCAGAAGCTGCAAATCAGATATATGTCAGTACACCTTTTCAAGGATACATTGGAAAAAAAAGCATGGTAACTGATAGGATGAACAACAGTGAACACTAAGTGTAATTACCTCTCCGATAGTTTTCATAGTAAAATTCCCTTGCCCGTCATACATAAAGATGGGAAATGATGAAGTGCAAAATTCACGTATGCTATTGTCCGCTTGTTAGTCATCGGTTTAGTAAAGGTAAGTACAGGTACCAAACGAGAAAGTCATGTCGTTCATGAGTGTAGAAACTGAAAAGAAATGGCTTCAAGCATAGAATCAACTTACAACTGTCTGCACATGCCGCAAGGTGATGCTGCTGGTTCAATGTCTGTTGCAACAGCAATTGCTTTAAAGTCTCGATGCCCAGCTACCTGCAGATCAGTCCAATACGTCAGCTGTGACTTCAAGTTGGACAGGATTTCCAGGGCGTGGTGCCGCCTAAAAGTCACACGGCAAAACGAGGACAGATATGAGCTGGCCAGCCTGGGTAAACAGCTGAGCAAATAGTGATTTGTAGAGCGAGTCCTAAGCTTGCAGTGGCCTGCAGCAACTTCCAGCAACTTGCAGCAACTTGCAGCAAGGAAGGCAAAGCATAGAAGAAGAGTAGAGGTAACTCACAACCGCGGTCCCCAATGCAACCCTTTCTGCACAGGTCCCAACAGGATAGGCAGCGTTCTCTACGTTGGCACCGTGAAAATACTCGCCTGTTTGCGTCAAAACACAGGCTCCAACACGGAACTTTGAATAAGGGCCTATCGAAGATTTTTAGTAATCTATAAGGCACATGAAAACCAGAAGTTTTGGAACATGCATTCAACGTCGCGTTCAGAATGAAGGTTGAGGGGGTTAGGAATCAGCACATATCTCGAACTTACAGTACGCAACGTCCTTGGCAGAAATAGCTTTGGTGGAGAGAGTCTCCAGCTCCTGGGCCGAAAGATGGTCAGCGGACGATGCCATGTTTAAATCCATGTTCGGATAGATTGTCGGATATATGCTCAAGAAAAATGATTCAGCAAGAAAGTGATCGTTCAGGTACTGGTGGTAAACCAGACGGACGAGACGTGAGGCGAGAAGAGATAAGTTAACGCTGAATGCGGGAGAGGACCGAGGGTCACACGTCATGCTCTTTTTCTGGTCTTGCAGCCCCTCTCCGAAAATTTGCGCTAACTATCGCGGATCAACCAACAGCCCATTGAAAACCATGACAGCCATGACAGTAACCTTTCCGAGCTCGTTGACCATTCTACTCAATGTAACGTATAATCAGGATTGGTAATGACTCAACCACCATCATTGACTTCTAATTCTGGCATTCCAGAAAGAGCAAGCATTGATCCCAAAAATAATAGTTCTAATGAAGACTTTCTTTTCCTTCTTCCTCACCTTCCGCCTCTATCAATGCCAGATTGAGTTTTCTTTTTCGGAAAAGAAGACAGGAAAATCAGAAGAGAATGAGAAAACTGAGAAACGGGAAGATAAGAGTGAAGAAAGCAAGAAGAGAAGAAGGGAATCGGATATAGAATAAAAAAAAAGGTCTAGATCTAGAACATGAATATAGGTATCATACAACAATGCCAGAAAAGCTCAAGAAATCGCAAGAGTTACTCGAAAGAAAAAGGCAGGAGGACAAGGAGATTATAGAGTGACGACACGCTCAACCAAAATGGCTTCGTAAACCTTCGTATATCGTGAAGATAAAGGCTGAGCTGGGAGCAGACCGGGCGCAAGTGATACCGCAACCTCGATATAATCCCTTCACTCCCTGCTGTGCCCACAAGGCTCGGGCAACCCCCCAGAATGTTTGCCTTTCACCATTGTGCGCCAGGCGTGTGATATCTTCGGTTTGCATGCGTGACTTGATCGTATCAGCTGGATAGAACAAGAAATTGTAACTGACGCCAGCTGCTGCACCTGCGAGCATCTGCTGGGGTATGGGAACGCGATCGGACTCAAATGCGGCATCATCAGCCCGCTGAGAGGCTGCGCGGGATGAGCGGAAAAGCGCCATAACTCCTTCGTAGCTACCAAACCAAGCGGCGCCACCGCCGGTTTCGCGAATAAATGTCCCTAATTGTCCACGCCAGAAGCCCATAATACCATCGCGTCGGAACACAGATACAATGAGAGCCACAGGCCCCGGCGCTTTAGCGCCAGGGCCTGCCAAAGGTACTTGCATCTTGCATTTGATCAGCTCCACCGGGGTAAGTGCGAGAGAGGTTATTGACCCAGAAGCAGCACCGCAGAGAACCAACGCTGGGAAGGGTAGCGCATCTGCCGGGGCGTAAAACGTGGCGCGAAGTATATCCTGGACGAGGCGGTAGCTGAAGAAGAGGCAGCTGTTTTCTACAGCCGCCCCGACCATAGGGGCGCTGATCCCTCGGTAGAGCCCACGCACACCATCGACTTGGAACGACTGACGGAAGCAATCCAGGGGACCGGTGTATTTTAGAGGAAGATGATCCGGCTGGGACTGGAGTCGTACTTTGACGGTATCAAAAGGGTATTCGATTACCTTCCCTACCATTCCCGCAGTCTGACGGAGCGTCAGTGGTTTCCAGCTCAACACTGAGCGATACAGCGAGGCGACTCACAGATCCGAACAGAATATCTTTGAAAGCTTCGAAGCCCTGATTGGGCGGGAGTGAAGGGAGTTCCATCGACATCTCATTCTTTAGTGCTATCGCATTCTCTGCAGCCGCCATAGGGGAAAAGATAGTCAAGAATTGGAGAGGAGATGAGGTAAGGTAGGCAGCAAAGACAGGACAGGAATTTAAGCTGTTAAGAGAACATGGTAGGTATAGAAAGTGGTTCGGTCTAAAGGGCCAAGCGAGTATTTAAAGAGGAGGGCCTGATCCGAAGAGGGGCGGTGTGTCGGGGAGGGGTGGTGTCAGTGAGATGCCCGAACCATGCGCGATAAATTCAGGAAAGAGCGAGCATCGCTTGAAAAGCTGGAAGCAGATGAGCCCAAAGGCCGAGAGGTCACATATAGTGGGGGGCCAAAGAGGAAGACGGTTGGTTGCGATGTTTCAATTAGCTTGCCAACCAAGTGATTCTTAGGAAACGAGGTGGGACAAATCCCTCATCCTCGGAGCCACAAGTGCCAGACGCGGGTTCGGATACTCACTTCCACCGAGATCCGGTTATCTGATCGGTCTAAGATAACTTTTTCCTCAAAATCAGACAACCGGAAGAATAAGAGGGAAAGGCAGCGGAGAACTGCTAATAATACATATCACTCCTTCTTCCCCATTCTCAGCATCTATCTCGCTTTGGTGGCAGATTCAATTCCCATTCCCACCCTCCTCACCTGGTCTGACCATGTCGTCCTCCTCGGCTTCAGTCCCTCCGTCCGTTAAGGGCATGCGGAAGAATGGTATTAATTTGCTTTCCCCACTTTTTACCTGTTTTTCTCTTTTTTTTTTTCCTTTCTGACATTTTGTTTCTTCCCCTCCCCCCTCCTGAAAAAATGACTGGAGCTAATGAGTCGTACTTCTCGGACCCGCAGGAAAAAATTGGCACGACTCCAAGAAGCCCTTTCGCCCTACGGCGGGTATGACCTCCTATGCGAAGCGCCTGGAAACCCGCAAACACCAAGAGGCCGTCAAAGAGCACGAAAGGGAACTTAAGGAAGAGAAAGAGGCTGAGCGGAAGGTAGGGCAGACTTGCAATTCATTCCACCCCTAGGTAGCGTAGGTAGACTGACAACACAACCAGGCCCATATCCAGCGAATTAAGGATCGCAGAGCCGCCAAGGAAGAGAAAGAGCGCTATGAAAAGATGGCCGAGAAGATGCATCGTAAACGTGTTGAGCGCTTGAAGCGCCGTGAAAAGCGCAATAAATTGTTGAATTCTTGATGCTGCCTAGAGCTTGGTCGACCCTGGACAGTTCAGTGTATGCTGTCGCGGTTGAACTGTTTCTTGCTGTTTGCTAGCTGCACTGGATGCATGGCGGTTACCTACCAGCTGTTCGAAATTTGCCTTTTCTTCCTATTCCTACACGCAGAAATCGCCTTCCTCTCATTTGCGCTGAGCTTTCGGAAGATAATGTGGCGATAGGCGGCCTCTTTTCACATTCTTCAATTTTCTCACGGGACAAAAATGGATCATGGCGACCTTGGAGTTGGGGGTTCTGGATACTGGTTTTTAAATTTACTCATACGGAAGCAAGAAACATCTTTACATAGGATCCTCCAAGACTTCATGCTATACCAAAGTAGTTGTAAAGCCACATGGGCTCGGAGACGGAGTCGGGCGTTTCAAGTCATGCCGATCGTGCTGTATGTACTGTACCAGTACGGAGTACGTAGTCTAAAGAATCTAGGGGGGAGGAGGATATCAATCGGTCAACGCTTGGCGCCTGATGTCGAGTCCGCCATCTCAATCGAATGGCTTTGACCAGCAGCACAGCTGATGGGCATTGAAACAAGTAGTTCTTCTCTTTTATTGCACCAAACTATCCGCTTTACGGATCAAGGGCTTTGCTGAGTCCGAACGGAGGCCTCGATGAGCTTGTCCTCGCCTGGCATGGTATCTTCTACGACTCCCGAGGGCTCCGTCCCTCATCCACCGGCCACCCATGGTTTTGGCGTGGTCGTCACCCAGAAACCGCCTAGTACTTCACTGGACCAGCAGCTGGCCAGCACAAGCTATGATCAAACCCAATTTATCACCGATAGCCATGGTCATGAAGACAATCTGCAACTTGCCAACATCGTCAGCCTGTCCGAAGAGAAACAGCAGCACCGTCATCTGGCCATCGACGTTCCCAGCTTAGACCGAGTTCTGTCCAAATCACGCCACCGTCACAAGCATAAGCGTAACAAAGCTGGCGACGGTCGTTTCCCACGGAGAAAGAATCAGTCTACGACATCTACCACTGCCAGGGGTCTGCTGCCGACGTGGCCCGGGATGAGGGACAAAGACAACGATGAAGAGAATGGTCTCCTCCGTCCGATCACACGTCGAACGACACGGTCGCGCTGGGGATCAGAGTCTACCACGGGATTGACTGACGGGAGTCGGAGGGAGAGCTTACTCGAGGGAATCGATACAAACACAAAACTTGGCCCGGTCGCACGTCAAGAGATCCGGTCGTTAGAGGACCTGGAGCAAGTGAAAAGTCGACGGAAATATGGCGAAGAGTGAGTTCCGACCGCTGTATCGTGAACCGGGCTTGGTATGACTGATGCACACCAGGTATTTGAGGTCCGCTTTGTCACTTATCGGAATATTGGCTACAGACATCACGCGCCGTCTGGATTACACGTACTATAACCTTTTAGAGAATGTGGCAGCCCTGAATGCTACGGTATCATCTTTCCAGGAACTGCTCAGCTCTACATCAAGTCTCTTTGTCGATTTCCAGCGAGAAACGTCGAGTCTCGACCAAGAGATCCGAAAACAGGTCGGAGAGCTTCAAGAATTCCAGCCACAGATCAGAAAGATAGAAGCTTTAGAAGATCGCATGAAGATAGGGCGGACGAAAGCTCAGAAACTCAATGATCGACTTGAGAACATGCGGAATGAGATCGATCGCTGGGAGAAGAAAGAGATGGAATGGCAAGACCGCGTGAATCGAAGGCTCCGTATGTTCTGGACCTTTGCAGTAGCGGGTGTACTTGCAGTGCTTCTGGCCATTGCCACACAGGACAGGAGCATGATAACATCCTCGGCCATTTCCAACAACATGCGTGCAGGCACGGCAACGTTGGATCATAGTGTATCACTGCGGGACGAGGGCAATCACGAATCTCAAGGAGGAAACACTCACACGTGGATCAAGCAGCCAATTGATGCCCTATATCAGGGATCCGGGAGTTCGAAGCCTACTGGTGACGACCCTCTGAATTTTTCTGTTTCTGAATAATTTACAAGTGCGGCTTCTTGTCTGTGCTCTCTGAAGGTCAAGGTCGGCCTCGACTCCATTGCATTACTATTGGCTTTTGCGTGTGATACCCAGTTGCATCCAAGCATCCGATTTAGTACGTTAAGCGTTTAGTCTGCCGTTATATAATAGGTCATCGAAAGACAATAAATCAGCTGCTCGACTTCTTTTTCTTGTCTTCAATAAGCTCAATGTTGACCTCAGGGATTTCCTTGGCATAAAACTCCAACAACCATTCTTTCACGTCTTCACTGACATCACCCTGAACAGTGATCTCCTCGGTGCCTCCAGCAGAGCGAGTCATGGAGGAGCCAGTCGCAAATTTCTTGCCCAGCTCTTTGGCGAGCTTCTTGTTCTCCAATCCGTAAATGTCCAAGCCCGTGATGACGGTGACATGTTTGCGCTTGTTACGTTCAACGCGTTTGATCTGTACCTTGGAAGCAGCCTTTCGCTCTGCATCGCGTGCCTCTGCGGCGGCAGCCTTTGCCTCCTTTTTAGCCGCATCCTTAGCAGCACGCTCCTGGGCAGACACCGAAAGTGAAGATAACTTGGAAGTCAGAGCCTCTGCAACCCCATATCAGAGTCAGCTGCGGGAGTTCCAAGATCTGCCACAATGATCTGAACAGAGCGGACGAACCTTCAGAATAGAGCTGCTGATATGCGTCCGGGTGCGTGTCCTTCAGCCAGTCTTCGCACTTTTTCGCCGTTCCGCCGAATTCGCAATACTAGAGATCCACGAGTCAACCACTTATCTTCGAAGAAGTCGTTCGATTTGAGATGTTGCCGATAATAACATGCTCTGGGGAAAAAAAGGCTGGAATGAGGGCCATACTTCTACAGGCAGTGTACAGACTGCACATGCAAAACACACAATGCGTTAGCCTTTTCAATTTAAGGGCCAGGGTAGCGAGAAATGGTTTTCCTCCCATTGCAGAAGCTCGAGTTCGAGATGGGCCTTCACTCACCTCCACAGTACAGGACGTGCTTTGCCTGATTTTCCACCGGACGAGATTGCTCGACGTCCGCCATTTTCTGACCCAATGACCTTGTTGTATATGGTTTATGGAATGACGGTCAATCGATCCAGAGAGTGATTATGTTTTAAAACACTAGAATTCGTCGAATTCGGAAGTCCTGTTATCACCGACTGCACTTTTAGTTTATCGAGATGGCGCGGGGTCGGTACTGCAGCCACCCCACTAACCACTTCGGGGAAGCGCTGTGATAATGGTCACGTGATAATATATGCCAGCGCAGGCATAATCGGCTGGACAGGCATGATTAAGGATTATAAGAGACCGGAAGAAACATGCTGAGGCGATGGTACTTCTGGTTGCAAGATAAAACCCGCTCAGGTTCGAGTATAACGAGCTAGGAGAACAATCATGAAAGAACTAAAAGTATAAAGTGACGTTTCTATCTGATTCTAGTTCATACTCGTGAGGTTTTTTAAGTATGTATACTTTATAGAAAGTAAGCTTGCTCTCTTTGCCTTCTTATACCCTCTCTGTGTTACGCGAGACCCGATGATTTTGAAGTGAGACGTCGACTATCCGCTGCTGACACCCGTGGCTCCAACGGGATTGTGGCTGGGAGAGTCTTCCAAGAACCCTCAATACAATAGTCACCAAGCAGAGGAGCTAGTAGGCAGAGGGAAGTGGTGGCAGTGAGACAGAAAAATTAGAAGCAATGGTGCAAACTCCCGGAGGCCCGAGACAGGCGAATAGGGGCCAAGCAGAACGCAAGGAAGCCCTTTCTGCAGTACCCGACGCCTTCAGTCCCAAGCCAATCATGAATAACGCTTCGAACAAGAGCCAGATGTGCTACCTCAAGCGGAAAAGTGAAGCCTACCACCTCAGGCACTAATAGGCACAATCCCAATTCCGGGGAATCCTACCGAGCTGGCCAGAGCAACGCTATGCACCCTTCGATTGATAGACTGATCGTCAATCGGAATGACGAGGAGATCAATCCTCGACCCATAGTACCCCCAAAGCCTATTCGGGGCAAAGTGGCCGGAGGTTGTCAATATCGCAAGTGGCTGTCGGGATTGCCTCATAGGAGCCGACGGCTGGTTCCTCGTCTACAATACGAGCATGCTTCCGCTAGAGGTATACTGAAATCGGTCTCTTCCCAAAACCAGCCTTCTTCCCAGGACAGACTCGCTTTGGTAGGGCTAAATTCACGCACGGATCACGAAGCTTCCCCTTTGTACATTCACACGACTCTTGAAGAGTATTGCCTGGCAAGGGGCCTGCGCTTTCCGATAGCAAACAAAGCAAGTCGATAAGGTGGCCTTACATGTAGTTGAGTGACATAGGTTTCACAGCCTAGAATGTGTAACTATCAAATGATGAGTGCGGTTTCTACTTGTGAAACAGATTTCCATGCAGCATGTTAAGAGGTCAAGGCCGCTCCGGTCTTGATGTATAATATGTAACCTGGGTGCCTGTGTTTTTGTATCTCATCCCTTCCATTCGGATCTATTTTTCTTATTTTTTGCTCTTGGGTCTCGAGCAAATGTGTTTCAGCACCTGTATAAAGCACGCGTGAGACTAGTATGCTTGCATTTGCCTCCGATTCATGATGGGAATAGAAACCCTTAAGTTTTGCGAATCAAAGCGAACCTAGTTTCGTTGAAAAGACAAGAGCCCCTCTCATCAGACAAGGGGAGTACAGGGCATTGCCGCGTTGGATTTTGCCCCTCAACAGACACCAGTCGAGCGCAGCTAATGGCCCTGGTTCGAGCCAGGGATGATATAGCGACGAGATCAGAGCGATGAGCAGTCCTTTAGCTAGTCGACCTCGAGACACATCAATCACAGCTCCTAGGGAACCCGGGCTTAGAGATGAATCGTCTAACTACAATACCTGGTATAGGCACGTTGCCTTTTCTAAGCAACGATCTTGTAAGCAATCGATATCGCTGTTATTCTTATATCCTTAACAAAGATTCATGATGATTGACATACATCCTTGAGGAGAAACAACTCGCTTGGCTGGGTGGTTCGAGACCGTATCGGGAACATTGGTGCCTGCACAGGGTGTTTCGTTGCACTCGAGCTGTCACCGATTCGGCATTCTGTTCATGGTGCTCTACGGAGTGGAAAAAGACCCATTGCATGGGAGTCATAAGCTGATAACCTTGGAATGGAAAGCAAAGGGAAGCTCAGTTGCATGTACTGTAAGTACTAACTTAGTCAATTGCCTTGCGGACCGGGCCCCGGTTTCTGGCTTTCTTATCATGGAAGCCCATCGACCAAAGAGAAGCGTAGGATAGGCCCTCGTGGGAATGATTGGATTATCGGAAGGTCTCTGCACAAGGTTTTCCCGACCTTGGAAAGTCTCCACTGTCCCGAGTCCCCGCCAGCCGTTTACTGACGTGCATCGAGCCGCCCGATGGATCTTGAGAACTATACCATACTTAACCCTCAGGTGCTTGCTCCCCTTTTTCTTTGTTGGTGATTTGGTCTAGATTTCACATCATGACCCTTCTGGGGTGGTAAATTTCCCCCGGGGTGAGGGATAATTGCGGACAAATCAGATTTGACTCAGCCTGTGGTGCTTAGGTATCAACGCGCACCATTTTATATGTGTACCCTCGAGAGGCTTGGAAGCCCTATTGTCACCAACCGTTGACTGATTGCGCCTTTTTATTTCTTTGTGCATCATAATGCTAATATTACCTAAGTCGAGTAGTTACAGCGTTGTACATATACTTCGTTCAGAAAGTGGATGAGTCTAGATTGATCCTGTTGAGAAAGTGGTTCCAGTTGCCAATGCGCTTGGACCGTTGAATAGATTAAGATGCAGCCAAGGTACAGTACAACTTGGAGGGGGCAATCACTATTGATAAGTTACAGTCGAGAGGGGCAAAAGAGCGGGAGGGAGAGGAGAACTCGTCTGTATCTTTGGCTAGTACTGAGTAGTATTGTACTGTACTACGAGAAGTAGACTACCTAGACCACTCGAGTGCTATGGACGAAGCACGGAGTACTGCACAGCACCTATCGCTCGTTCTATTCCAATCCGAATAGCTCGGATCGATTGCGGCGGGATTCGGACTGTCAGTCTTACTGTAACTACCCGCACTTGTACTTAGTTATCACTAGCTCGTTGGCAGCAACCCTGCGGGGAGAAAATCCGTGCCATGCTCGGGACATCCACAAGGTACGGATGTATATGTAGTTATTGTATCCTACAACAACTAAGCAAGGGGACGTATCGAGACGCAAAGAAACATGAATTTTGTCTGAAGAATCTCTCTCTCTCTCTCTTCGTGTGTGTGTGTGTGTGTGTGTGTGTGTTTGTCTATTCACCGTTTGTAGAGGGGAAAAGGTACTGTACCTACATAAAACTAACTGAGGTAGGTCCAATCCGACTGAAGTACCCATACGTACCAAACTAGACGCACCCCCGCCTTTCTGGGCGATCATCCAATTTGGGAGATGTATTGTACATGAGTGACTGCCTAGAGTTTTCATTCCGAACGGATTGACCAACCTGAGTCTCTGTGATTACAGTGGTGAAGCACTCTGTAGTATAGGTAAGTAGTAAGAGGTAACTTATTCATAGTAGATTCGTTGAAAACCCAGTGCTGGAAGTACAGGTAGTACTAAGTTACAGTGTACCTCTGTCTAGACCCTCCCTGAAGCATCTAAAATCAATGAGTCAGCGACAGTTTCCCCTCTTTCCGCTCTAGAAGAGTCTCCGGAGTCTCTCCACCCCCAAGAAGTTACACCAACGGTAGAGAGAACTAGGTTACAACAAGCCTAGTGTCGCAGCTTGATCTCCACCCGCGCCCGGTTTTTCTATCTTGATTCTTGACGGAGACTAAACCGGTGGCAATTGAACTTATCCTATGTACGTATGTACGTACGTACAAGTACGGAGTACCTTCAAGGTATTTACTTGTACTTAGTGCTACTCGTATGTACGTACTCCGTACTCCGTACTATGTATGAGCATGTAGTATTTGCCCTCCTCCAAGTCCAAATGCAGCAGGCGGTCGATTTTTTTTCTCTATTCTTTTTTTTTCTAGGGGGGCCTTCTTTTCTTCGAGATTACGGAGATTATGTCTGAACTTCTGCCAGGATTCCTTCTAAGTTCTAAGTTACGAGTAACTCTTAAGACTGCATGTTAACTAGCCTCTAGGATTAGCAACAAACTGACTAATGTTTTTCCTGCTAACTAACTACTAGGTAGTTACCTAGTATGACACTTCGTACCTCTTTTAGTTTCCCTTGTTAACGGATCCACCACTCGCACTTCACCCTGCGTCCATCCCTTCCAACCCACGCGTCAACGTCAATCTCATCAGCACTGAGCCGAGTCTTTCCATCCTTCGCTCTTTCCGCAGACCCCATCAAAGACAACAGTCACTCAAGTCGGTCTCGACCACGTCTAGTCCTCTATCAATTGCCCCGCCCTCTGTCATTGAGCTAAAAGCCAATGAGCAGTTTCAAAAAAAGACTGACACAGAGAATAATATCTCCCAACACGAGATCCCAGAATAACTGATCGCGAATGAACGCCCTTTTGATGCCACCCCGATCTCCACCCGCCGCCACTACTATCAAGTGCGGGAGCTTTGTCTCTTCCCGGTTTCCCGTTATTCTCCTCTCCTAACGTTATTTTACGCGTTACCTCTTCCTGTGCTTCTATCCTATCTACTACTTACTCCTCCACTGCGGTTGCTGCTCCCCCTCCTCGCCCCCGGCCTTTTCCACACTGTTCGCCCCCCTCCCTCCTTCAATCTAGATCCTTTCCCACTACCTCACTTACTTTCTTCTCCGATCCTCCGTGCGACCGATTCTTCCACAATCCCTGACCAGCGCTCTTCGGTCGGTTCCAAGTCTGTTCACCCAGCGGGGAGCTGGAACAGCCATTCCGTCCTCTCTTCGGACTCTCTAGCTCGTTCTTCGACCCGCGGTATAAGATTGACTCGTCCCGTATATACTGCCCTCCACCATTGACCATATTTTTGCGCCATGATCTCAGCCCTTCGTCGCTTTCGCTAGATCCGAGGCTGTTCGCTTTGCCTGCAGACTCTTTGTAGTTCTCACTGTCAGGTCTTTTTTTCGTCGTCGGCTTGTGTCTAGTATCGCTCGCTCCTCACATCACTTGCACCAACCTTCTCGCCTCTC